GCTGAAACCAGGAGAGCTAGCCCAGATTTGCAGTGGCATAGAATCTGGGCACTGCATCAATATGACGATTAATCCACATAGGAGAACAGCGTTCAATACTCCCGAAAAACTGTGTGTTTGAATGAATGGGGTCAGACTAACTTCATCAGCACTGATGATATTGGCTACAGTGAAAATTGTCTCAAGGAGGGAAAGGCAAAATTTGTATAATTTTGGCACCAATGAAGCTGTGTAGATTGTTCACCTGGGATGAATTTCTGACAAGGCTGGGTGCACTAGGGACCCTGTGGCAATTCCATACCTCACTCCCAGTGAATGTGGCCTGCACACAATGACAAACATCTCTGCTCTTGTTTAATTCAGTCTAGTTCTGTCACAAGCGAATATCATAACCATCTAAATGCATTGCAGTGCCCTATGGGAAAGTAATGGACACTTTGGCATATTTTCCCATGGTAAACATCCATATCACAGAGTCCACTCCTATAACTGGTGCTCCAAAGAAAGCTTAAGGAATGAATGGGCTTGTACCATCATCATCCCCTCAGATGAGATCTCTTCAGGGAGAGGTGGGACAGTTCAGGGGGACACAAAGGTCACTGCTGTATCAGTCTGGTGCTAGTTTCAGATAACAATTTTTCAGGTTATCAATTCAGCAGCATTCACGGTGAGGTTAGCAACAAATAAAGCGTAGCATCACAAAAGGCATTACCACTGAATATGTAAAATAAATCAGTGTATGTAACAAAACCAAATCACAGTGTGAACACAATGAAAACCAAAAAAGAAAAAACTCACTGACACTTAACAATGCACAGACTAACGTGTTTCAGTGTCACATCCACTTATATGACTTACCCCTCATCAGACTTGCTTCTTGTATATCCCAACGAACACAGACAAAGAAAGTAGGTAAATACATTTTTCTTCCTTAGTTTTAAAGATTTTTCTTCAGATCAAAGCAAAAATCTCAGAAAAATAAATTGCTCTTAGGGAGTGTAAAAAAATAGAGCACTGATATAGGTGACCATGTCAAATTTTTTTTGTTACTAGTCTCAGTCCCTGCAGAAGTATGAAATAAGCAAGTTACAGATAAGCTCTCTCATGTTCTTCATACTTATCATCACCAACAGCTGCAACGAGGTAATAGAAAATAAGTGCTCAGATCCCAGAGTTACTGTTGATAAATATGAAAGAGAAGAACTCCAAAACTATGAGAAGTCCTGTGGCACCTTAGAGACTAACAGATTTATTAGAACATAAGGTTTCATGGGCAAAGACCCACTTTGTCAGATGCATGACGAAGTGGGTCTCTGCCCATGAAACCTTATGTTCCAATAAATCTGTTAGTCTATAAAATGCCACAGGCGTTCTCCTTGTTTATGCAGATTCAGAGTAACATGGCTACCCCTCTGATACTCAACTCCAAAACTATTTTCTCAGACTGCAGTCCTGAGTAATAGAAAAATACACACACCACAGTATGAGGGTTTAATTTTTATATAAATTTTCTAAACTACCTCTTTAAGGTGGGTGCAAATGGTGCATTGTTGGAAAATAAAATTGGGAAGTGCCTGATCCAAAGATCTTATAATCCAGTGTATTTACACAAATGGTCAACAACTAAGGGTATGTCTACACTCGCACCCTCTTTCGAGGGACGGATGCAAATGCAGCTGGGCGAAATTGCAAATGAAGCACATATTTGAATTTCCCATGCTTCATTTGCATAATCGCAGAGTGCCACTATTTTGAAGTACCCTATTTTGAAATAATAGACACGGTTATCGTATATATAGTAGCCCAATGTCTGAGACTCTAACACTGAAATGCTGGCTGGTCCCTCTGGGCGGCCCGTGCTGCATGGGGAGTGAGGGGCCCAAACGTCATGGCCCCGCCCCACCCCTCGCCTTCCGCCGTGGCACTCGGCTGACTTCTGCACCGCTCAGCCAGGCTGCCGCATGGGAGCAAGAAGCGCAAGCGACCGTTTGGGCTCCGCAGTCCCCCGAGTGAGAAGCAGGAGTGGGAGGAGAGCTGAGAGAGAGAGGGGGAGGCAGTAGGAGGAGAGGAGAGAGAGAGAGAGTGCGAGACCCCAGAGGCTCAGGAGAGAAGACTGACGCGGAGGAGAGACCTGAAAATCCCGTCTTATGACGGGGTAATTGGCTAGTTTTGAAAGAAACCCCTTCTTTTTAAATAACCCGGTTATTTGAAAAAAGGGGTTTCTTTCAAAATAACCACATTTACACAGCGTTTGTTATTTTGAAATAGGGTATTTCGAAATAGCAGCGGTCCGCGATTATGCAAATGAAGCGCAGGAAATTCAAATCCGTGCTTCATTTGCAATTTTTCTCAAATGCATTTGCATCCCTCTTTTGAAAGAGAGTGCAAGTGTAGAAGAAATGCTTCAAGATTTACAGTGAAAATTTAGACAACTAAAGCAAGGTTCAAATGCACTGTCAACACCTTAACATATATTTTGAGTCCTCTATCGGATATTCCCTGTTTTTAGTAGTGAAACAAAGCTGCACAGATGCATTCTTTTGAACTGTGTTATGCAAGGGGAATTTTTCAGTGAGTATTACGCCTGGCCTCATTTTTTGTGGAGGTGCTTTGCTACCACTAATCCAAAACAGAGCCCTAATGAGAACTTATGTTCTTATATTGAGTTGTAACTGGGGATCTTTTGCCAATGGAGTTAAAAAACGATGAACAAAGAATAAGAGTCTGGAAAGGGTGTAGGAGGAGAGTCACAAAAATCTGGGGCAAAGAGAATGAACAGGATTATAAACATGGAAGACAGGAGTCTTATGGGGAATTTTAAGAGACTTAAAGATGGTGCAGTAACAAAAAAAAGTCAGTGGCATCTTGCTCATCATATAAGATAGCTATATAAATTGCAGTCATGATCTATAACTGAAAGTGACAGTAATGGGAGTCCTTAAGATGGGCTTCTATGCCTAGAGGGTTGCTAGAGGATAGAATAAGCTGCCAATGAAGGAATGAGAACAGCTAGTATTAAAGAATTTAATACTGCTCTAGAGATTCTCTGAGGGTCTAACCTATTCAGGCAAAACTAATGAAACCATTCATGGAGGTTATTCATATCACAAGATCAGGGATAATCTAAGTGAGCCTCTTATTTCTTCCATCCAAATTTATTTTCATGTTTTATATTGATGAGTGTGTTGTAAAACCATATGGCTAAACACACAACCCTGTGCACACTGATCTGATAACTACAATACATAATGTATGCAATAGAGGTGTTCTAATTAGATTAATCAACAAATCGAATAGTCGATGGGATTTACAACGACTATTCTATTAGTTTATAATGGCGCTTCCACTTTGAAATGTAGCAAGTGCCACAACGTTCCACCTTTGAAATGTACAAGAGCCCCAGCTCTGCTGGCCCCAGGCTCCATGCAACGCTTCTGCTTTGAAATGAGCAAGAGCTCCAGTGGGGCCTCTTGTACATTTCAAAGGTAGAACGCCGCTGCTGCCCCTCCTATCGATCTGGAGAAGGGGGGGAACCAGCTTTTAAGCCAGCTCCCCGCAGTACCCCCTCCACGTCCCTCCTCCTACTGCCTCCTTCTGATAGACACAGCTTGGGGTGGGGAAGTGACTAGTCAACTAGTGTGTCAACTATCCAATAAGCTTTTGCTTATCAAATAGTCAGCTAGTCAATTAGTTGCTTACATCCCTAATATATAACTACATACATGTAGTTTAAACAAATAGAAAAAATTAACCCCATCAATAGATTTTCCTTTTACCAAAAGGGAAAAAATGTAACACCAAAGTACCATTCTAATGTCTTAACAGGCAACTAAACTATTAGGCAGTAACCTCCTTCATAAGCGAATTTGATAGGCAAATGTCTTCCAACACCGTCAATTGCTGTAGAAGGTCCACACACTCTGAACCCAGAAAATATGGAGGTTTTGGAGGCCAGCAAGTCTGCAACTCATGCGGATCCTCTGGCTACACATCCCTTGTAAGAGTGATGCCATGTGTTAAAGTTGTTAGTGGAAGCCATGATAGTGACCATAATTATGGTCATAGCTCTGCTGCACACATGCCCCGTGCCCTGCCTAGAGTGAGCAGGATTTCATTGTTTCTGGCCTTCAGAGATGTCCTGTGCAAAGCCCTTTTACTTGGACTTCCTATGTGGAGCCAGACTTTCACCCAAAAATAACCTCAATGAGACAGTGACATTCTTGTTCAGCAATCAATAGAAAGTGACAGCAAATGCAATAGCATGTTGAGAAAGCAGTGAAAATATTATCTTAATTAACATTTTAGTCCAGTTTTATTCTATGTTTTGTTTTCTTTTTCTTTCTGAACAACCATCCCTGACAGACTCCATGATTAATGTAATGCCATTTCTGGTGCTATTGGCATCCACAGGGTTAATGATTTATTTCAGTTCATAGTCTCATTATTTCAGTTCTATAAATGCCCAGTGTCATTTTATTCCTTCTACAGTTACTCTACAACCTTTTCTTTCTCTCCTCCACCTGGGGCTCTTGCTTTCAATTTAACAGGAGGCAGTAGGCAAAGATTGAACTGAAGCCCAATAATTACACCTCCCCGCCCAGAAAAACAGAACCATCTATTTTTTGTACAGATGGAAGAAACAGTGAGCTGCTCTGAAATCCCATAAGCAAACTCACAAAAACAACAGTTATTGCTTGTCAGAGTAATAATAAAAAAATGTCAGCTTCCATAATTTGAAAAATGTATTGGTTGGATTACACTGTATTGCAGCTTTTGTATTCGGGAAGAACACGGAGCAAGACTGTCAGCTGGAATCCTGTGCTCTGGATTTTTCTGGTTCCATCTGCAGGAATATTTACCCATCGCTCAGTTTATCACTAGCAAAACAGGTTGTGTCTTCATTAGTAGACATGAAGCACGTAAGTGTCACCAGCAGATTTTTGCCAGCTCTTACATTCTTTGATTAAGGCTCATCTTACCCAGACCCTACACTTTCCTACCATTCTCATTCAGTCTTTTCCATATGTTCCTCGGGTCCTCTGAAAGTTTGGGAAGAGTTGTGTGTATTTCTCCTATAAGTGTGAGTGAGTCCTGAAATAAAAGAAAACTGCAGTGAGGCATTATATTTTGGACTCCCACTACCTGTCACATACTCTAATGACGAGGACTAATTTAAGGGCCAAATCATCCCTTGTGCAGGGCTACCTATAGAAGGACCAGAAAATTTCATGAGTCATAGCTCACAATATCTGACATCTGAAATGGACAGGAGCACAGAGGGTAACTGCCTTTATTCAGCTCCAGCCTCCATAGGTGTGCATGTAGCAAACCATGCTGTCAGGGCCTCACTGCAATCCACTTCAGAAGGCTTTCCTAGCATAAAAGTAGGACTCTATGGAGCAGACTGCTGACTGGGTCAACATTATCTTGATCTAGAGGAAATTATTTTCAATTTGTTGAAGATGCTGCAAACCAGCCATCTCCTCTGGCATAATACCGAAGCAGAGTCTGAATTGCAGAATCTAGGGTTGAAAGTGCTTTGTAACACTGACAGATGGACAGAGCATGATGTAGAACCACTCTTCCTCCTCTTTCCTCCTCCTGAATCTATGGCCAGTTTTCACTAGGTCTGACTCCTCTCCATTGGATCAGACACTCAGGAGCCTTGATTAAGAATATGATGTAAACACTTCGATAGGTTAGAATAAAGAGCAGTAGGAAAACTGGCAACTACAAAACTGACTTCAGGTACAAGACAGGATGATATGAGAATCCTTAAAATAAGGGATGAAATGTCCATGTCAAGCAGGAAACTACTGTAAATGAAAGGCTTCTGCATTCCAAATCTATAATCCACAAAGTGCTGCCACCTTGAGCTCATTGAAGATGTAAGGAAAAATCAGACAAGGTTTCTATCTGAAACCCCATGAGAACACTTTTTATTTTCCTGAAATTCAAATGGCAGCCCCATAACAGTCCTGGTTAAGAAAGAGTAGCGCGAACAGCCTCTGTGACAGTAAAGGTGTCTCTGCATCCATGCAATGCAGCAGACCCTTTGTACTACAGAAAATCCTTTGACAAGACAGAAAATGGGATGGAAGCCTGTGTAGAAGTAACCAGCAAGCACTTATAACAATGATATACGGTAACTTACTTTGTTTTTGGCTAGCCAGTCAGAAAACAGGTCATGGGAAATCACTCCAGACATGCCCAAAATAAAAAACACACCTCTGGAAAATGCGGAGCCAGATTTTCAGCTAATATAAATCAGTCGCTCTATGGACATGATCAGCACAAGGGGCACCTCTATACTTACCAGATTGACACTCAGGAGGTTGATCTTCTGGCATTCAATTTAGCAGTTCTAGCAATCCCCTCTAAATCAAACAGTGAGGACAGCTTCCAACAGTGATCAGTACTCCTCCTTTTGCCAGGGGTAAGGGAATCCAATCGGAGCATTTGCTCTCATTGGCCTCCCGCTGTGTAGCTAGAATTGGGTACATTAAGCCGACCTTCCCAGTCTAGTGTAGACCTGGCCAACGTGAGGATCTAGCCTAGAGGTTGGCAATAATTTCTGAAGTGGGGCTACTTCACAAATTTTTGAAGTGGCCCTGGTACACCCCAGAATGGGTGGGGCCAGGAGACTGCACTCCCTCACCCATGGACCCTATTGGCTGAGGATGGAGGAGCGTGTGAAGTCTTTGCTTCCTGTCTGCTAGTGGCTAGAGAGAACCACAAGTTGTTTCGAATAGGTGGCAGTTCCTTCTAGTGCTGTGCACCCCTGGCTGGGGGGGAGGAGATTTTGCGCACTCCCTCCCCCCACGTCTTGGGGGCAGGGGAGCGGCAAGGCATCTGCAGACCGTATCAACCAGCTTGGTGGCACGCATCCGGCTCGCAGAGGCTGCCTTGCCCACCCATGATCTAGCCCCATGCAGATGACATGGGGTCACATTCCATCCTGACTCTCACTGCATGATCATAGATCAGGATGCAATTTGGTTCATGGTTTCCTCAAATGCAAGTGTGTGCAAATAGTACCAGAGTGTTTGTTTTAAACAACATTTTCTTACTTTGGCATAAATCTGTTGTTCTAATTTATCTTGGAGTAAAGCTTTTTCCACTAAAGTCTTTTTTTGTTTGAGAAAGTTAATCTTGGCCAGCTCTTCCCCCTTTTTCCTACAATCATGGCATTGTGATGGCTGGTGTACTTTAGCTTCTGTCACCTGTAAGATGAGAAATTGAGAAAATGAATGAGTAACATATATCCTAGCAAGACTGTCACTTGTATTAAAATAAATAAAAAGTACAGCTATACATATAGCTTCTGAAGAGAAAGATTTGTTTTTCTAGGGATTCATAAATTACTTCATAATCTTTTTCACAATATTGTCTTGGTGAACTGGTCTGAATGACTTTTGCACTAAACTACATTTATTTTCCCCCCATGTGTTACCCTTTCTAGCTGCAGTAACTTTGTTTCATTTAAGGTTAATCTGATTTTTTTTTCAGCCATCATATTGCTGCCTAGTAATATACCAGATTTTTCCTGTACTAGGCTAATTTCCCTTGAAATGTACATGCCGTCCCTTGCCTGAAATGTATGTGCCATCTTTTAAAAGATAATAAATATCTTCACCCTGAAGAGATATTGGTTCAATTATGTACATACGGTTCTGAAATAAAATCCAAAGTAAAATTATACAAGCAGTTTGCCTCAAGTGCTGAATAACAACATCTATTAGGGTATGTCTATACTTGCACCCTATTTCAAAATAGGGATGCAAATGAAGACATTCGAAATTGCAAATGAAGCCGGGATTTAAATATCCCATGCTTCATTTGCATACTCATGTTCTGGCGCTACTTCGAAATAACAGACGCTGTTAAGACACGGTTATTTCAAGAGAAAACCCTTCTCTTGAAATAACCCTTATTCCTCATACAATGAGGTTTACCAGTTATTTCGAGAGAAGGGTTTTCTCTCAAAATAACCGCGTCTTAACAGCGTCTGTTATTTCGAAGTAGCGCCAGAACATGAGTATGCAAATGAAGCATGGGATATTTAAATCCCGGCTTCATTTGCAATTTCGAATGTCTTCATTTGCATCCCTATTTTGAAACAGGGTGCAAGTGTAGACATACCCTTAAAGTTTGTGTTAGTTTACTTGCTTATTTATATAAGGATTTGAGTCTGATCTCACTTATACAGATGTAAATCTGTATTAACACTATGGAATTACACCAGAGTAAAAACAAAATAAGTGAAAGAAGAGTCAGGCTTATAGACTGCAACAAATTTATTAGTAGCTGTTTTTTTTATTGCATTTTAGTGTAACGTAAGGAAGTAAGAAGTTGTAATTTCAAAACTGTTAGAAAATGAATCTGTCGATATCTCATAAACACCAAAAAGAAAGAAACAAATTTAAAAAAAACCCCACTATTCCCTGCTCACTTGGCATAGGGTTAGCTGATAAAATGATTTTACATGGTGTATTACAGAAAATTAAAGTAAATGTATGTGATAGTAACTGAAGCAAAAATACATGACTGCAATTATTATTCACAAATCATTTTTGGTTATAACAGAATTATTGTCTGATGAAGACATATCGTACACAATTCAAACACTTTCCAACACCAAGATTTAGGGGTAAAAGCATCTGTAGGTGATGACTGTCACAGTATCATATTCAAGCACAAAGTTAGAATTCAAGGATCACTGGAGAATAAACAACAGTTTGATTCCACACACACACACACACACACGCGCGCGCGCGAAAGGAACATTGTTTGTCTCAGTGTGCCTGAGAAAAGAGCCCTGGACTGGCAGAAAAGAAAAGCCCTTCAAACTATTAAAATGACATACACATTTTACCAAGCTCGTTGATGCAACCCAAATTGCATCAGGAATACTTTATATTTCAGGGAAGTGTTAAAAATTAAAATATGGCAAAAATGAAAGATCAAGCATTTAGGAGTTTCCATTAAAATGTCTAAACACTGCTTGGGTTTTGTGCAAAAGAATGACAAATAAGCACCAAGAATTTTCCATGTAATCTTAGGTTACAAATTATTTTGCTAATGTGTCCTTCACAGGGCTAATGTCATATCTATGTGCTAAAATATTTTAGCTTTGTCTCTGTGGATATTACCTTTGTTATCTAGGAACCCTGATGTCTGTTCTTCTGTCAAAAGATAAACCATACGAGATGCCAAGTGACACAAAGGTGAAGAGCTATGAAGCAATATTTACTTTCTGTGACTGAAGGACCAAGAGAGATTCTGACCTCTCTTGAGCGGAGTCAATGCAACTTTGCACATTAACCAATGGCATTATTGTAGTGGAGATGCCAAACCATCTCCTGGACAGTGAGCGCGTCTCTGATGCCTTTCCCCAGACTCCACACATCACTTCCAGAACAGCTTTGTACACAATGGGCAAGGATAGCCTGACAAGTGTCACGTACAACTCTACTCCCCAGTTAACCTTACGGTCACAGAGAACAATAATAACTGTTCACTACTCCCTCTGTAAATTACTCATATCATATGTAACATCCCAATGAAATATTAAGCATTTTTTCAGTAGGCAACATTTTATATAATTTGTATTTACTAAACACATTCTGTAGCATGGGGTTTAATGAGAAAATCGGAAACATAAATCCTGCCGTTCTCACTAAGGCAAAACTCACAATGAAGTCAATGGGAATTTTGCATGAGTAAGAACAGCAGCATTTGGCCCGTATAGTTTTAATTTTAATTTAGCAGTCCTCCCAAAACAAATAGGCATGTTAAATGTTTTGGTTACAGTACCTGTTTCATTGTGTCTCTGATATTTTTAAGATGGATTCTGTTCAATAGTTGATCAGGAATAGTACTGTTCAAGTCACCTGTCACTGGCTTCTCTGAAGTAATTCCATGCTGCAGTTCTTTATGTTTGCTGCTCTTTGGTTGTTTAGACTTCAACTGATGATGTATCTGGTTGATCTTAATTGTGCAAAAAGACTGCAAAGCATCCAATTCTTCATCTGATACCTCAGTAATTTCTGCTAACAGTGCATCATCAAAACAAAAAACTCAATTACTATTTCAAAGAGAAGACTTTTGAGTCCTCTAACTACTGTGACCTTTTATCATGTAATTTAAAAAACAACAGCCTTACAACATCAGGTATGAAGGTATTTGCATTCATAGTAGTAATGTATCATTTATACATAAATTTAGTATAATCCATTTAGAAAAATGCAAAGTATAAAAAACCTCTATGATGCACCCAAAAGGAAAGAGTCCTTAAAAGAGGGAAGAGGACAAAACTCACATGAAAAGAAAGTACTTGGTGTGCACACACAGAAGAGAAATGCAAATTTATTAAAGATAAAAAGTAAAAGTGGCAAATAAGGCAATATAGAAGTTACTTTTAGTTTAGATATTAAATACATTGATGGAGATCATATGATTGTCTAATTTGGAGTTAACCCTTTCTCAGAAGGAACTGCAATCTGTTAGCGCAAAATGCATTTACACTTTAAGTGAGAACACCAGCTCTGATGGCAATCTCTACACACATTTTTAGTTACAGCTGTATTAAGAACAACTGCTGGAAAATATCTAAAATATTTTACATGATCTGAAATTCATCCTCATACATTTAAGGAAAATGTTATTTCATTAGCAAACACTTTCCTCCCAAGTTTCAATGCTCAATTCAGAAATTCTTTATGTGTTTCTCTTTAAACATCAAATTTCACTCTCCAATTTCCTTCCTCTTTTCAGGTGCATTTAATAAATAAAAAAAGTGAGAGAGTAGAGTTGAGACAGAAGCATAATAAAGAGCCAACACCCACTGAAGTCACCAACTCATTCCATTGATGTCCATCGGCATTGGAGCCAGACCATAACGAACATATAAAACAAGTAAAAAAATGTCTTGTGGTTACTATTTGGATATTTCACTAGCAGCATTGCTTTGCTGTGTGATGGCTTCTTGAAGCCCTCATCTGTTACACTGTTTTTAAGTTTTTTATGGAGGATAAAGAGTGTTTCTGTACATCCACATTCTACATGCTTTCATATGATCGCCAAACAAAGCCCAAATGCATGTGTTTACATTCGTATTATTAAAAAACGTTAGGCTGTGCCTGCCAAACCTATGTGAGAGTATAAGTGTATCCCTCCTGTAGGCTGTTCCTCTTCCACTCCTTTGTAATATCTTGTCTAAAATTTGACTATAGTCTTTTAAAGGCTGACACCTGGTCTTCCTCAGCAACAAACACCAAGATTCCAGAGCTACATCCCTAGCACCAGTGCTCCAATTTTGTCTGTGCCTTAGGGCATCACCACAATACAAATATTAAAAATATAATAAGCTACAGTACAAAATTCATCTTAAATACCTTGTGATGAATTTAAAGTGAAGTCTACAAGATGCAGCTCTGGAATTTTGGAGGGAAACAGAACACCATTTCAAAAATCCAGCCTATCTTTATAAAAAGCAAGCAGATTTATATTTAAGATTAACTGAAGTTGAAATCAGTGAGCCTTGCTTTATGGACCATAAAGAAAGTGAATGAATTGTAAAAGCCACAGTTCAGAATCAATTGTAGCAAGGTAATTTATTCCTCCTTTAGACTTGGTGAATCAATTCCACTAATGACAAAGCAAGACATGGTATTACCTTGTATCCCACTTATATGAATAAGAATGAGCCACAATTAAAAGTAATACAACTAAATTGCCTTTTTCTTAGGCAAGATCATAGAGGTTTGATTGGAAACAATAATTGCAGCCATCAAGTCCTTTCCCCGCAAATGCAGTACATAGGCCATGTTACATAGTTGGACTGATCCTTTGAAGAGGCACTGAGTTTTAATTATACTAATCAACGGTGCACATGTACACGTGTACTGCACTCAGAATGAATAAAGCAAAAAAGAAGCTACCATTGCAAAAATCACTGCCTGGGTTATATTTATTTCACAGAGATACAGATCTACAACATACTGTGGGAGATCTCAAACCAAAGCCCACATGCAGCACTCAGGCCACAATTGACAGTTTGCAACCCAGCAGCTTAACTGAGAACTATGAAAGGGCCCAGAGAAGGATTAGCTCACAGAGGGCTCCACTCCAAACCTCCCAAATGGGGGAAACATCCAACCCTCTGATTGGCTAAAGAATACTATAAAAACCAAGAAATAAAAACAGGAAGTTGTCTACACACGAGGAATCTTTGGCTGGCTGTGATTATGGGTGCCTCCATTCCTGCTTTGCTCCTGTGTCCTGCAATGTCAGACTATTTTTTTAAAAAAACTAACAGCTGGAGAATCTTGGACTCAGATTTTACTGAAACATGAGGCAGCAAATAAAAAGGAATGAGTTAAGTTTCTACACACTGTAAATTTGTAAAGCTAGTCTTCTATACCCTTGTACCCTGTTAATCTCTAGTCCTTCCAGACTCCTGCATATATGTACAGTATTTGTCTTTCTTTCACATGCTAAGATAGAGCATGCAGAGAGTGTTTTGTTTTAATACAGTTTTTTTCTCTGTCTTTTCTCTCCTTTCCCTTTTTGGGCTAGACATGCTTGAATACTCATTCTCCATTTGTGGTGACAGACGTAAATGTCACTGTGTATTTCTCTACAGACAATCTCTGATAGTGCTGATTACTGTTCCAGAAACACACTTAGCTGATGCTTGGTTTCCCAGAACCCTGCATGTTGGGTCATTCCCAAGCCCTTATTTCCAGGGACTTAAAGGAGGGCATCAAATTAGAACTGTATTTTACATACTTCGTAAGATCATAAAACATTGAACATGAGGGAATTCAAGCACAACAAACTAAATCACCCAGCCGCTCGCATTATAGTAGCATTGAACACACATCATGTAGATAAGCAAGTCACTATTTCTATTTTAAAGCTTGCTTTGTGGTTTATAGCTCACTGACCTACATGGTTTTTGTTTTCCACATGGAAGTGCATTTAGAGAGAAAACAGTGTGAATGCTATATAAGTGAAAATAATATAAAAGGAAATGATCAGTTGTCTACTGTTTGATTTATTTTGAACTTTACATTGTTCAAATCAGACTTGGATTTAATACTAGGACCATGGCAAGCATTTTGTTGGTATTTTGACCTACTTATTTCTGGTATTTTAAAAAGAGAACCTGTATGACGGGTAAAAGAAAATTATTTGTGAAAAGCACATTGATATGACGTTAGCCCTGTCACGGTGATCACACAATAGCAAAATACCTTGGATTTCCTACATGAGCCTCAAGCATCCTGCTCCCCTGTATAATTAACTAAAATAAATAAATAAAAATAAATAATAATATATGGCACAGATCCTTGAGCATTTACCCTGTCCTTACCAATGCAAAGGAGCAGCATGCTGGAGGCTCATGCTGGAATTCCACACCCCCTGCATGTTGCAAACTTGTAATCCACACTGCTGGAGGTTTTGGGAAAAGGACAACAGCCATTGGATTTTGACTATGTCTGTGTGTGATCCAAACGCTTCCTTCTCCAGTGCAGTCTGCTGCTGCACCACAGCTTGTATGAGGGAGGGGAGGTTTCCAGCCCCCAAAATTTCCTCCTGAATCCCCTCCTACAAGACTGTTTATTTGTGCTAGGCATCAGCACACGAATATCTTTATATGACTAGTTCACTCTGAAATTCAAGGGCTTCAGCAGAGGCCTTGCAACCTGAGTCCTGACACCCAGGGCTGAAGTTCTCAGATTTTGGCTTTGATTTTGGACACGGGGCTCAGGCTCCCAGTCCCAGGGCCCACAAGTCAAAGCTACCCCGGAAACCCCATTTAAAGGAGTCACATTCTACTTTGTAGCCCCAACAGAAAGTTTGAGAACTGCTGGCCTACAATTATGGGAAAAAAAATACCAGGCAGAAATATTGTACAAAACTATCCAGAAAATTAATATTCTCTTTCTATATATAAAAAGAGTTTTTCCTGCGCGTGACAGAATGACGTCATCAGCCTACTTGAAAGTGTAGTCTCAGTGTCTTGCTTACTTGCACTTCAACCAGAACCAACTGTGAAACTGAGATCTGTCTGTAGCATGTGTGTGAGCAATAGACAATTAACAGTTTTTTCTACACAGCTTCATTTGTTCACTTTTCTATATAATCAGTGCAAGATTAACAGGCTCTCTGGCTGTGAAAGTGGCCAGATAAAGGGGAGGTGGCAAGCATAGCAGGGACAGGGTGCAGCTCCCTATTAGATCATAAAAATGCTGTAAAGACAAATCTGTGTCTGATGTGTCTTAACCACAGGATACAGGTGGTGCATCAATGCTAGTAAGAATAAAGGGAACTTACGCAACCTATAGAAAATTGGGGTCCCTTAAGTTTCCACGGGACACAGACTAATAAGAGAAAAGAGGGCTGAAGCTTTCATGGACATGTGCCAAATGTAGGTATAGATAGAATCACATTATAAAAAGGGGGATGCCCAGAATGGGAAAATTGAGCTCCCTATGGGAGACACCAGCAGGAACCATTCCTCTACTAATGATCAAGGCATGAGAATTCCATCAGACCCTAACACTATAGGTAAGGCTATACTTGTAATTTGTGCATAGAGCCATTAGAACAGAAGCTCGCTAACTGGCATGTCCATGTGGTGCCTATGCGCAGGGGTGATTGGGGAAGCTCTTTGTGTTATTCTGCCCACCAGCTTTGCAGCTCCCTCTGGCCAGAAACTGTCAGAAAATTATATACCAGTCTAGTACTAGATGACCTCATCTTCAACTATGTATACAAACAATTAAGAGGTAATCAAGATAGTATCCATGTAAACAATAAGAAGCTCAGCTGACTACGGATTATAGCATGTATTAACTCCAAGAGGAATAGACATTTGTAGAATACAGCATATGAAACTCTTTGTTTCTCCTTGACCCACCTTCCTTCACTTCTTTCCTTCACTGCACTGGCAATAAACATAATTATGGATCCAAAGGATTAAACCTGCCAGTCCCTAATCCTAAGGGGAAAACATCACAGTAGTGCCTCGGGATAGGTCATTTATTCCACAAGTATGTAATGGAATTCTGACCACCTCTTCTCCAAGGGCCCCAGCAAGTCTATACCAGTTCCCCCAGTCAAGCAGCCCTGAGCCCCTGGCTGGATGGGGCTCATTAAGCAGCTACAGGGCCATGCTACTGCACAGCTTAGAGTTGAGAGTACTAGAATTGAAATATCCTTAGGCATGTAGGAGTTTGGATAGTTTATTGTCCTTTTTCTTCTGAGGGAGGTGAAGTGAGCACTGTAGATGGCTTGTTGGGTTTTAGTAAAGTCCAGCCAAGAGGAAGTGTGTGTGGAAGCTTGGGGTTTTTTTGTTTTTTAAATGGGAGCCTCTAGTGTTGAGAGCTCCTCCATGGTTTTCTTTTGTTTGTTGTATAATATGCTGATTACGTGGTTCCTCAGTTTCTTTGAGAGTGTGTGGCATGATCTTTTGCTGTAGTTTGTGGGATATGTAGATTGTAGTGGATTTTTCACCTTCAGTCCATTAGGTATGATGTTCATCTGTTTGCACTTGGAGAGGAAGATGATGTCTGTTTGGATCTGTGCGAGTTTCCTTGTATAGTTGGATTTCCACTCCATATGGCTGAATGCAATGCCGTGCATGTTCAAAAGTTTCAAGGGGTAGCTGTGTTGATCTATAATAGAAAAATCTTTTTTAAAAAAAACCAAATAGTCCTGCAGCACCTCAGAGACTAACAAAAAATGTAGATGGTATTATGAGCTTTCGTAGGCACAACCCACTTCTTGAGATGAATGGAGTTGTTTTTAAGTTTATTCAGTTGCAGACTAACATGGCTACCCCTCTGAAACTTTAGAGACATATTGATAGATAATGCTTGTGGTTTTGTGTGTATGCATATATATTGTTAGAATATAATAAAACATTTCCTGTCTATCATTGTATTCTGTTAATTCAGAGATTAAAAAACAGATATTAACTATCTTGATTTCTTTTTGAGGTATATAGCAAATCACCTGCAAATAGCAGAGATAGGCAATTGCCTTATATTAATCCACATAGCTAATTACTTACCTGTGATGCTTAGTAAACAGAAGGCTACTTCAAAAGCCTATTGCTCACCCAAGGACTGCATGACTCATGAAGATGCCTAGAAAATGTATAAAGGGCTTTTGGAATCTGATTCTTTCAACTCTGATCTGCTTCATCTTCATCCAAGGGAAATTTGAGTCATAAGACTGAGGTTTCCACATCCATGTGGACGGCCCTGATATTGAATGTTTGGGCAATTAATTGATTCCAAAGAGGACTCTGCAGTTCTAAAGGTCACCATCTCTATTACAAAACTAACCTAAGGACTCTATTCGTGTCTGTATGTATAATGATCTTTAAACCCATACTTTTAAAAAAAAATAAATTTAGTTTAATTTATAAGAATTGGCTGTAAATATCTATTTGGGTAAGGTCTGAGATATTCATAAACCTCTTATGTAACATATATGTTTCTTTAAGATTGGTAGAACTTTTTTATATGTTGAACAAGATTTTCAATAATCCTCCTTACATTGACTTGGCTGTCTGGGTGAAAGCCCAAAGCTGGGTTGTTTAAAGGGAACTATGCTTTGGTGTCTGTGTAACAAATAAGGTACGGTATACATTGTTTTGTTGCTGGCTTGGTAAATGCACCCATTTGTGGGATTGCTTGCCCCATTCTTCACAGTTTGCCCTAATTGAGTAACCTCAGGTTTGGTTTCCAAACCAAGCCACATCATGGCCACCCATTGCAAGGTCTTTTCTAACCTCATGTGCCCAGACCTGAGCAGAGAGTGGGCAAGTCATAACAGGCCTAGTTGGAATCTCTAGAGAACCAGCAATTATCAGAGTTCCACTTAAATTTGGGGAGCCTTGATCAGCCAGTAAAGGTGGTCTTTTATGTACCTCACTCCCCTGGGGTAGCCATTGATGTATGCCTCCTCTTCTATGACTTCTTCCAAGACCTGCCTCAAGGTAAGGTCTTCCTCTGCTCCTTTAAGAAGTCCCCATCAACTGCCAAACATTCCTGTCCAGCGTTATTGAATGTCTTAGTTTTGTGGTGGAGCTTTGTGCTGGTGGGACTGCATGCTGGTGTTTCTGGCCAGTTGGGGGATCTTTATCTTCGTCTTTAGGTCCCTCTTGGCCCAGGAGCCCCCTCTTCAATGGCCGAGAGGTTTGGTCTTCCCATTCATGCAAGATTTCTCTGAACCATGACAGTCGTGTGCCAGGATGGCTGGATAAACCAGTGCTGGGGCTATGTAAACCCAGTATACTTCATTGTGACACCCTGCCTCAAGGCACACTCTGGCATTTGGGCAAGGTTATACAATTGCATGAATGCACTGCAGGTGGACAGGAGCCCCAACTGAATTTGGGGACTTCACCAGGATAGCCCAGACTTGCATCTGATTGCATCCTGAATTGACAGGGGCCATGATCAGGATGCTGTTCACCCATTTGGGGATTTGGAGTTTGGCTGGACTCCTTTTCTGGACCCAGTGGCCCGCCACCTACCCCAGCTCCTGGCTACAGTCCATAAAGCAATTACACAGAAAGTTCCCCTCTTGATCACAATCATAGCCTTGGCTTTTGGATATTCCCATGCTCAGGACAGGTCTCAGTATCCCAAGTCCGCCCAGCAGGGCCTCTTCCTCACAGGAGAGTGGTCATGTGGTTTGGCTCATGCTATGAACTAGCATGGTTAGCAGTGGCCTAGATTTGTTCTGGAGTCTCCCGATTTTAGGCTTATGCTGCCCTCAATTAGCAGCCCAACATGGGCACCCTTGAGTTCCCCAGTTTAGGGGTTCTGCTGTCCAGGCCCTTCAGTCGTCAGATAGTCTTCCATCATGGACATCGCTTCTGCAAGGTGTGCCAGGTGGTGCCATTGCATCCACGCTTTTCCCCTGTGGGGAGAATCTTGATGAACTCTATGTACTTGGTTAAAGCTGTTATGTTATACATCATAAAGAAGAAATACTGGTGCCTCCTGTAGTGCAGTAAAGGAACAAAAACATCACAGACTAGCAGTAGCTAATGTTAACCAACAGGGCCATTTGAAATTACATTTCATTAACACAAATGTAATTGAAACAAAATGTTTGAAAAAAAAACATTCCAACCAGCTTTATTGCTGGTTAAAAATGCATCACAATTTTGGAGGGTTTTTTAAATCAAAATTGAAATGTTGTCAAATCTAAATTTAAAAACTTTAAGAAGCTCTGATGACTAATGTACCTGTGGGGTTTCTGATATCACTATTTCACAGACAAGTTATGCAAGCTGCAGAAATAAAAAAAGGGTGTGTCTAAAACAAACTTAAAGGAGAAATAAAATAAAACTGATTTTTTTCATTTTTTTGGAAAAACTTGAAAACATGCATGCTAACAAAAATTCTGATTTAAAAAACAATTATTTTCATATAGATTTTGAATTCACCTTTCTGTATTTTGATGATAGATTTGCCTTGCTTAATGTTATCTTCTTTATTTTTGAGAAGGCTGATCCATTTTCCAGTCAACTGTTTTATTATAGTTGCAGAGTTTGACAACTCAGACTGATCACCTACAAAAATATGTTAGCTTAGAAAATGCATTGCTAAAAGAACAGAACAGAAGCGAGACAAAATAAAACCAATGAAGTCAAAGAATCCTCTATCTGGATGTTACTGAATTTAACTCTGTGAAAACGGAACATTACCTAGATGTAAGAAAAAAAACCTCAAACCCACAGGAGCAAATGAAGAAAATCAGTGGATTTTCAGCTTCAGAAATTACCCAATTACTATTACAGAAAAAAAAGGACATCTTAGATTGTTCTCTAAACACAACAGAAAAATATGGTGTTGGGTACATGAAGAGAAGCTTCCAAAGACTGACACATAGGGACAAACCTGCAGAATGCTGAGCAGCTTCCGCAAGTTACTGAGTCCCCTTAAATGCCATTGTTTTCAAAAGGAATTTGATGATGACTTCAGAGATACTCCACTTGAGAATTTGACTCATTAGGTCCTCATTCCACTACAAGGAAAAAAACGCTAAATAACCTTGCTCTTAGGTCTAGTCTACACTTATTACTAGTGTATTACCCTACAGACTTATTACTACATCACTTAGAGTGTGAAAAAATAACACCCCTAGATGACGTTATACTCATCTAACCCCTGGTATAGATGGCACTATATCGGCAAAAGAGCTCCCATCAACACAACTATTGCTTCTTGGGAAGGTGGATTAACTGTGCCAATGGGAGAGCTCTCGCCAGTCAGTGTAGAGTGTTTTCAATAAAGTGCTACAATGGCACAGCTGTGCTGATGCAGTGCTTTAAGAATAGACCAGCTCTAAAACTGGTATTCAGCACAGCTGATAACTGTCAAATTGTGCATATTTTCCCCCTCTAACAAATATTATTTACATTAAAAGGCTGCCTCACTCTTCACATATATTCCTTTAACTAGTCAGTTTCTTCCATATTTTACTTGTGTTCTGGCTGTAAAAAGAGCACTTAAAATAAAGCCTTCTGCAGAAAAAGGAATGGCTAATTAAAATGTATCCGCTATGAAAATAGAGATCCAGAAACAAGTTACTAAATTTAGTACATTAGACAATTCACTTAAAGTCAGTAATATCTGGTCCAACGCTAGTTGGAAGGAGGAGGAGAGATGGTGTCAGGCTGGCAGCTGGCTGTAAAACTGCCAAAGAAATCAAAGAAATGAGTCCTTAATATGCCTCATATGAACTAGGGTGTTTCCCAGCTGGAAGAACTAGAAAAGCTGACCCCAATCAGATGACATTAAGGCCATAAGAAGACATTTACATGTGTCATGAACAAGTCACCAAGACAAACATTATCATTACACTTCAGACAGGTAGCCAAGTTAGTCTTTGACTGGAAAAAATTAAAAACCAAGAAATAATCTTGCAGCACATTAAAGCCTGACAAAACATGTAGATGGGACCATGGGCTTTCATGAGTACAACCCACTTCATCAGATGAACGGAGTATTAAAAGTCCAGATTCAAAAATAAATAGGGAATGGGTGGGGAGGAAGGGGAAAGAATAGTGTATTACAATGTTCAAGTTACAAGAAGCTAACATTACGCAGATAGATATTTGACACATTTATCTATGAAACTAAATTATTCTCTTGGGTACACATGGTTTTCATGTAAGACACATGACTCCTAAGGCAGAAATTGGCCTATACTAAAGAGGTTGTATGCCTAAATAATTGTTATGATGGAGCCTTACCCGTAAAGTATCAGAGGGGTAGCCGTGTTAGTCTGAATCTGCAAAAGCGACGAGGAGTCCTGTGGCACCTTATAGACTAACTGAAGTGTAGGAGCATAAGCTTTCGTGGGCAAAGACCCACTTCGTCAGATGCATCTGACGAAGTGGGTCTTTGCCCACGAAAGCTTATGCTCCTACACTTCAGTTAGTCTATAAGGTGCCACAGGACTCCTCGTTGCTTTTACCCGTAAACAAGTGCTAGTTGCTTTTGCAGAGAGAAAGGACAAATGTATTGGTGGGTCAGGAAGGGAAGGAAATACTTTATGGGAACATCTACATTTAAAAAAAAAAAAAAAAGAAGCCAACAGCACCAAGTCTCAGAGCCTGATCAATGGATTCAAGTTTACCAGGCTAAAATTGTAGTCTGGATGTTCAGGGTCAGGCTGCAGTCTGGGCTCATAGATACACCCTTTCTACAGGGTTTCACAAGCCCCAGCTTGAATGTATTCACTGCAGTTTTTAGCGTTGCAGAGTCCTCAAGCCTTACTCAGCTGATCCAAGCCGGCCATGACTGTGCCTTCAATCTTTTACTGCAGTATGATGCACCTTAAGGAGCACTAAGATAAAAGGTGTATGTCAGCGAATGTTTTAAACTAACATTTTAAAATTCAAGTTCAAACAGGGTTAATATTTTAACATATGTTAGCCAGCTGAGGTAGGAGATTAGGTTATGACACAAGGAACTACCACAAGTTAAAACGCATCTTACTCTGTCTATATTAGGTTTTAAAACATGTTAGTTAAACCACTTTAGCTAACACATTTTAAAAATAAATATTTTATCGTAGAGTCGACAAGCTCTTTACACTAAAGGAAAGTTACAGATTTAAAAATAGCAGCTGATCAATGGCTTGAAGTGGCTACTGTTTCTCAGACTAAATGGAGACTGCAGGAGGGAGGGAATACTACCAAAATGTCAAATACCCTATTAGGGTATTTGTTTTATTCTCCTTCCCTCCTTCACTTTTACCATTACTTGCTGCAGGTTTGTTAATATTGCAATATATTTTTAGACTGATACAATGGATGAAGTAATGTATTTTATTGGACTAATATCACATGGTGGAAGAGATAAGCTTTTAAGCTACACATAGCTCTTCTCCAGGTTAGACCTGAAGAAAAGTTCTGTATAATTCAAAACCTTCTCTCTTCCACCAACAGAAATAAAAGATATTATCTCAACTACCCCATTTCTCTTATATCCTAGGACCAATGTGGTTAAAACACCATGAAAACAATGTATTTTCAGGTCTTTCTCCAATCTACTTTTAAATGTCCCTAGTGATGGAACTTCCACTATTCCATTGGGAAACTATTTTCCATACTTAAACAACCAATTTGGTTTATTATACCTCCTCATATACTCTCCATTACACGTTGATTCAACAAAGTTACAGATCTGGCTGAGGAAGCCAATGTTATGAGGTTTCTGTTGCTGTGCACAGCAAGAAAATCTGATGTAATTTTTATTTTTTTATTTTATTTTTGCTGATCTGAGCTCTTCTGTGTAATTTTAAAATTGGGTGGAGGACTGACTGAAATGCACAGAAATCTTGCATACCTTCATCATCCTGGCTTGCTGACTGCCACACACTTTCAGATATATCTGACACAGGAAGCTGCTCAGACTGCTCTGTGGAACAATAAGAATCAAACAGTTCACTCTCATATTGACTGCAGGCTTCCTCCTTCTCCTCCTCACTGAAGGACTCAAACGTATCCTCAGAATAGCCTGAAATGGTAGTGCTGCAACTCTGGCCTGATTCCATCTACTCCTCTTCAAAGCACTGAATATTCAACCCAGCTGGTCACCAAAGAAGAATACTAAAAATAATAATAAAAAGAAAAATCAATAACAGATGTGATAACACATAGCTCTTAGAAAGATTCAATTGGATTACTGGTCCGTAAATCAGCAGTGCAATTTACTCAGTCCATTTACAAATAGTTGTTACTGGTCAATCCCAAAGTATTAATCTGAAATAATTATTTCATTAATTTATAATATATCAAAATGTAAGTGATTTTAGTTTAACATAATTGCAGATGTACATTACCCTTTAACCTGCTACTGCACATAAGTACACTTTATTACTTCAGCCATAACATTATTAAATGTGGCTTATCCATGTAGTTGCTTACAAAAGATTATATTATACACCTGAAGACTTTTGGTATCAAAGCTAACACAACATAATTTAATTTCCAAAAATGTCCAGAACCAGACAATTTGTTAAATTGGCTATATTTCTTTTAAAAAAAATACTTTTCACAGATATACCAAGGCTTGGGCCACATTATAAATTCCTTACGAAAAATTCACACTGAAGTCAATGGATATTTTTCCTGAGTAAAAACAGCCAGACACATTTTATCAACCATACAATATAGGACAGCTATTTCTAAAGTAATGTACTACTGTCTATCCCTGACAGGGGTCTGTTTAATCTGCTCTTAAAAATCTCCCATCATCCTTTATGATGACTGGTTTTTATAGCAGAAGTATTAACAGCTTACCTTTCAAAATAGGACTTTAAAAAGATACTATGGTATTAAGAATTAATGTTAAGAATTTACACTGAATTATGGGTAATATTTTTTCATGTGACTATGAAAAAATTATCCAAAAAATTGAATAATGTTGCTGTGGATTTGTATGCCTCCCACTGGCCCCTCAGAAATGCAAAGCATTCTTAGACTATTCAGCTTCATGTTTTGAAAATTAGAAAGAAAACATTAAAAACCATCAGCTGTTTGATAAACTCAAAAGAAAATAAACAATAAAAACCCCCCAAAAACCCAAACTGCGGGATGAAAACAATACTTACATATATAATTGGTCATTGATACATCTGAAGTATCAAATGTGCTTACTTTATCTTCTTTCATTAGGATTATGTCTTAACCACCACTTCCTCCATTCTAAGCATGGAAATGCTCCATTCAATTTAGGTTGTGTTAGAGCACAGCAAACAGGGAATTAAAAACAGCCTGATCAGAGGTTTTTTTGTAGGCCTTCGTATGTCTTTATATGATAAAGTACTCACAGGTATTCTTCCTTCCCTCATCTTTAATTTTGGTTGTTTAATGAAATATTAATCTCACATTTCTTGAGCAATGAAAATTGCCATCCATTTTAGATCCAATTTGCATTTCTTGTTCATTCATGTAAAACAGATCAGTTCCAAACTTCAATGCCCAAGTTAAAAAAAAAAAGAAGCAGCAAATTTCTACCTCTTTCCTTGGAGGGAGAGTCATTATTTTTCTTTATCTGAAGTTAAAGATTCTGAAGACATGCTAAAAATGATTTATTCTAAGAACAGTCTTTATACTAATAGCCACATTTAAAAACAAATTCACAACAGATAACTCTTGTAAAGACTAAGGCTCTAATCCTACAAATATGCAGGTGCTTACATTTTAAGGATGAGTTGTCCCACTGAGTATCCAAGATATATATTGGAGAAAAGCATTTTCATGAATAAGAAAAGAGTATCTACAGTCATTATCCTAGTGGAAGAGGATAAAATAAGCAAGATTAAATTTTTAAAATGTATTCATGACCAATTATGCATATAAATGCTGTTTTCTTCTGACAGTTTGCTTTTGTGCAGACACCAGGACTATCAGGTGCTTATTATGTGTTAGCATTGGTATTTACAGGATCAGGACCTACACTTAAAATTTACACTGCATGCAATTAAGTTGGTATAATAAAGCAAAACATATATACAAAACTAACAAAGTGATTTACAACTAATTAGAATGCTTCAGTTTGCAGCACATACTTAAAGTGAAATCCTGGATCCTTTAAAGCCAATAGGAGTTTGCCACTGACTTCAACTGAGAAAGTCATTTCATTTAACTTTGCATTTAGACACACATTTAACTGCCATCTTTGACCTCAATGGAAATTTTCCCTGCTTAAGGGCTGCCGAATCAGACTCTACGTAAGCAATAGCTCAGTCCTTTCCCCATTGGTATAATTATAAAACTAAAATGGTCTTAGCAAACCTTGCTGAATTTGCACCCTCCCAATGACAAAGGTTTGCAACACACCGATTTAATTTCCAAATTATGCGTTGCAGTCAATATTCTAAGAATATTCCTAAATTTAAGGTAATAACATTGATCTGTGGATAGGTCTGCATAGAAGGCCAGAACACAAAGGGCATTAGATGTTTAATCCCCTTAGCTGCTTTAGAAAATCCCACTTGGATATTTAAGCACCTACATACTTTTAAATATATGGTCTTGTGATGGGGTGGACAAAGCCCGACAGCCCTGTTTGAGGCCTTTCAGCACCCTGGCTAGCAGCAGGAGCAGTAGAGAGGTCCTCTGAGAAGACCAGAGTAGCAGCCCCTGCTGCAGCCAATCAGACTGCAACAGACAGATATAAAAGGAGCTGCTAGCCAGGCTCTATCAATTCCTTCCTGGAGCTTGACCTAGGCAGACCGAGGAACACCAGCACTCTGGACATATCTGAGCAGGAGCCAGGTCCTGCAGCTGAAGGCTAGCCAAGAAGCCAAAGGGCTACCCTGCAGAACCCTGAACAGGGGGAACTCAACAACAAGGCCCTAGAGCGGTGGTTCCTAAACTTTTCAGCATCATGTCCCCTTTTTGATTTTTGAGAAACCCTCATGCCCCTTCCCCCCAAAAAATAGCAGCAAAACTTGGGGTGGGATTGACAGGGGTGTGTGAGGCTGGGTTGCCTCATGCCCCCCCAGAAGTTCTTCATGCCCCCCAGTTTGGGAACCCATGCCCTAGAGAAAGGGCTGGATGGGACAGCATCCTGGGGAAGTGGCTCAGATGTGACAGCAACTAAGTATTTTGAAACTCAGCAGGTAACTGCTGCTTATCGGGTCCCTGGGCTGGGACATGGG